AATGGGGCAAGTTGGTCAGGTAAGGCTCAGTAGTGTCTCAAGTATTTACATCGCGTTAGATTTACATTTATTAAGTGCAAAGAATTCGCATAAGTTTGTTATTACTCGGTTTATGCATTGAAATGTTTTTATGCATGTGAAAACCCGTAAGCTCACCAACTYTTTGTWGYTGACCCTGTTTTATGCCATGCTTTTCAGGTTCTAAGTAAATTGTGTGGACTTCTGGGAGCATTACTTGGATCAAGATCKATTAAGACAGAGTTTTTGTTGTATTTGAAAATATTTTGTAACCTTGAAATCTTGTCAAGTCGATGAACTGTATATTTTGAACCTTTAAAAAAGTGTTATTCTTAAACTGTTGCCAAGACTCGCTTACCTGTTACATTCCATGTTTCCGCTTTAACGGGGTGTGACATACTTTGACTTATCATTATATTGATCTATTTAACAGAAATGGGGATTTTTGATAAGATTGATTTTTGAACTGATTATATTCCATTGACTGCGGTCAATTTTTACATGGAATAGTCTTGTGAAATATTTTGATGGGGAAATATGGGTGGCATATCAAGGACAGGTGTACCATGGGATAAGGGTGGCATATCAAGAAGAGGTGTATCATGGGATAAAGGTGACATATCAAGGAGAGATGTACAATTGGATATAAGGGTGGCATTTGTATGTGTGTTATCTAATATAACTCTTACTATTATATCCCTTAAGATTACTGTGGTCTGAAATCTTTATTTCTTTTTGATTTAAAGGTTTAAGATCAGGGTTCTTATTGGAAATCATAGTCTAGATGTTATTATGGAAAAGATAACAGGTTTGGCCTGAAACTTTGAATAAACCATATTTGAGTTAAAGAGGTTTAAAAGTGGCATTAAGATATTCCTAGTTAACACATACCTGTTTGGATTTGATGTGTTGTTTGCGAGCATAGAATTTGACCTAAAAAGTGAAAGGTATTGGTTTTATGTTCTTACTTGTTCATATATTTGTTATATATATGAAAAGTTATTTTACATAAAAGTTTTGGTAATTATTACCCTGCAATAACAGAAATAGGGTAACTCACTAGATCTTTCAGTCTAACCCTTGTTTTGTGATTTTAAACATGTATTGCAGAAAGTGCAGAAGGTAAGGGAAAAGGGAAAATGTAATAACTTCCTTATATATTTATCTGCATGAGGAATGGCTGATGACATGTATAGTTTTGATAGATGAATCTGGATTAGTGCAGGATTGTATTTTGAATTTTAGAACCATGTATTATGTACTGGTTAATTCTTGTACTAAGGGACCAATGTGGAGTATAAACATGTATTTCTTGTGTATGAAAAATATGTTACATGCAATGTGTGGAATTGGGGTCCTACAGCTTTGGGGTTTTAATGTCTATAAAAAGTACGATTTCTTCCCCTTCTTCTACATATGCATATTAAGACTCAGGCCAAGAAACCTAGGCAGCATGTGGAGGCCTTTATCCTATATAGAGCCAAGTACATGTTAAACCCAGTTTCAATCAGATAACAATGATTAAACAATAGGAATAACAATTTAGAGATAAAATCATCATGTATATAAACTCTCTCAATACATGTTTCTCTCTCTACAATCACTCTAGAATATTACAATATGTGTTCTTACTAACAACTAAACTAACAAGAACTATTTATATGATTGACTTATTACAAAGTCAAACTACAAAGTAAACTACAACTAAGCTCTAATTATAAAGTTGACTTTTCACTAATGTTGACAACTTTGACTTTCTTTACTCGTGTTGACTTTCACTTTGATTCCTTCATTCTTCATAATCTTTATAATTGGTGATCTCAGATATAATAATATTTGACCTAACAGTACAATTTTCTAGAATTCAGAGAGATGTTAGATCCTCTTAGCTTGATAGAGGATGAAGAAGAATTGTTAGCTTTTAGGGTGCTAGCATGTCTGCCAGCAGACACAACTATATGTTCCTGGCAACATTAGGCTAAAGAAGTACCCTGATGGGTTTTTCATTCTGTAAGAATACTCGTTTAAAATAGGGTTTACATTGCCCTATTCCCCTTTACAAAGTCATTCTTGGAAACCTTCGATATTTCTACGAGGTATTTGATGCTCCAATTTTGGAGAATCGTAAGCGTCATAGAACTCTTCACGTCGGATTGAGAGTCATCATTCATTATCAATGAGCTCCTTGAGGCGTATTCCATGACACCGAAAGTAAACAACCAATATATCCTCTATACTTTGGGTAGAGACAGCAGGATCCTGGTCTAGAACAATGTTGTCAACTGTTGATCCTCTCTCATTGATTTAATGATAATCCATTTTACCATATACGAAGTATTTATGTTAATGTTTTTCAGTCCCAACGATCGTTACTGAGTCTATTCAGTGATCACTGAAGAACTGATAATGTGAATCCAATCAGTGACAGTGATACTTCAAGAAGACAAAACTCACACCAAAGAACCTTCAGCGAAAGTCGAAGACTGAAACTAAAGATTAGAGACTGGCGAGTACGTGATCTGAAGAGGTATTCAATGATTATAACCTTGTCTACATATGTGTGAAGACTGCCCAAGCCTCAGCGAATGCTGAAGTGACCTTCAGGTTATTCCAGCATTCAACGATCAAAAGAAGCTTGTTGAGCACGAATTTTTTTGTCTTGTCCTTATAGACACAAAGGACAAACCCATACCCTTTCTAAAAGTTAGTATGGTACGGAGCAGATTAGTTGACTCTATTACCCACCAACTTTGTGAAAGGATGTGTGCTTATGAATAGGCTTTTGTACTATTCACTGTAGCAAAGGACAAGTCTTCCTCTTAAGACTTGACATGCGTTCTAACCCTACCACATTGCATTAAATGTGCATTTAATGCAATGGGTATAAATAGATGTGTTCTATCCCCATGCAGAGAT